GTGTGCTCCAGGGCAGACGCTGCTGCAGCAACGGTTTAACAACCCACTTCGTCTGAAGTTCCTTGATTTGGGTGGCCGGGTCGAGGATACCCAATCCGCCTTTACTCTTTGGTTGGCTGAGGTGCACTCAGGCCACCTTAGGTATGAAGCGCTGTGCCGTAGGGTTCCCCGTCCATAGGTATGTTGTCGATCTCCGTTTGAGAGATGTGACCATGTTAGCCTCTGGTGAACAGATGGTGGTTGCATACCATAGCATAGAGAAGATGGACGCATTGAGTACTAGTGCCCTTCCGAAGACCGACATATAAGTACTGGTCCATGTGTCCATTTTGCGTAGCATCTTCGTCAGAATCTCGGGTGTCATAACCTGATCTGGACCTGCGTCTGTGAGTTTGATCCCGAGGAAGCGCAGGGGCGTTTTCGGGTTTTGCCACTCAAAACCGTCGGGGGAGGCTGTTTGTGGGGGTTGCGGGCAATCCGCCAACCACCAACCAGTGGTTTTGTGCCAGTTCACTTTCATTTCTGAGGCTAGATGGAATGCTTGCATGACTCTAACAAGTCCCTAAAATGATGCTTCTGAGGCTGCGATAATGGTTGTGAGGTCATCAGCGAAGAGCAGTGTGGACGGCAGCGTTACCGCATGCGTGGGAGGGGCTGGTTCTACTATCAATCTATCGATGGATGGGTCCTTACACAAGAAAGAGGCTATAGCTTCCATTGTGAAGAGAAACAACGGTGTTGCAAGTGGGTCTCCCTGGCGAACCGAACATGACATCTTGAAAGGGGTTGAAAGAAAGTCGTTTACTTGTACCTAACTGTGGGCGTCGTTATACAACACTCTGATCCATTTTCGAAAGACAGGTCCCACCACCATTCGTTCCATGCATTGTTGTTGGAAGTTCCAATTGACTTGGTCGTAGGCCTTTTCAAAGTCGAAGAATAGGATGGCCGCGTTCAATCTCTTGTCTTTAATGTATCGTGTTGACACCGCCAGGGTCATGACGTTGTCCAGGATGAATCTTCATGGGATGAAACTAGTTTGGTCAATGTGGAAACACCGGTTTGTGAGCTTGCTAAGGCGATTGGCCAAGAGTTTGGCGAGAACTTTATACACGACCGTCAGTAGCATGATCGGCCTGTAGTTCTTGATGTCTGTCGGATCGCCTTTTTTGTAGAGCAAGGTGACCACCCCCGTACTTATGTATTTTCCTAACCCTTCTTCTGTCTCTGCTTTACTGAGGAAGGTCATGTACTCCTGCTGGAAGATTGGCCAGAAAGTTTGCCAGAATTCCTTGGAGAGACCGTCACGCCCTGGTGTCTTGCCCGGTTGCGGCGAGTGTAGAGCTTTTCTAACTTCCTCTTGGGATATGGGTTTGTCTAGCTCTTCACTCTGTTCTTGTGATAACGTCCTGTCCAGATGGTTGAGTAACTTCTGTCTGGCTTCTCTGACTGCTGCTTGTGGCAATTGATTCTCCCTGGAGGTGTAGAGGTCTTTGTAGAAATCTGCCGCCGGTGATAACATACGGCTCGGATCCGAAGTGATTGTTCGCCTGTGCGCAGCTGATCTATAATTTTATTCCTTGAGTTGGATTTTATTTTCTGGAAGAAGTACTTCGTCATCTTCTCACCCTGTTCCAGCTCCTTGACTCGTGCCCGAAGGCGAAGGCCCTCCTCTTTCCATCTCTTCCACTCTGTCATTCTCTGTCTAGCCGCGTCCAATGCATCCTCCAGCTGTGTTGATCCTGGCTGGGCCACGAGATTCCTCTCGGACAGTCTCAGTACTGCCTCCTGTTATTTCTCCTTTGCTGATCTTCTAGCTGCCAAGATGCGGGAGGCCTTGGCCGTGGCCCCGGAGAGACTCCCCACCAGTTGTGGGAAGGATGGAGCACGTGTGCCATAGTCTTCGCATACCTCAAGGATATGCTGCTTCATGGTGTGTGTGTCAAGGAGTGAGTTGTTGACTTTGAAGAAACCGGGGCCTCTCTTGACCATTGCTTCGAGAACAAGGTGCAAATAGATGAACCTATGATCCAGTCCTGGCGAGTACGGCAGGTCGCCAATACCTGCTGACTGCACTGCACCCCTTAGACTTCAATGGGCCCACACACTTCCACCTTTCAATCCGCATGAACCCACTGGGTAGGATTTCCAGCATCTTCCACAGTTCTTTGCCATCTCCTTCCTGGTTCGGAACATAACAGTTCCCTGCTGGGTCCAGCCCTTCTGGGCCTAGGATGGTGAGCCAGTCTTGGGGGATGCCGCTGACTAGGATCCTTCCAGCCACCCAGAACATTCAACCACAGGTCTGAGATTCTCACAATTCCCCTCCGGATCCAAGCTTGTCCGAAGGTTCCCGTAGAGCCATCCGCTTGGCATACTTGTCCTGCTTGGTCCACTATTGTTGGATTCTTGAACAACAGCTGGTTCAACACTTCTTCCTTGGTGGAAGGAGGGGTCTGCACATCTGGGGGGATGCAATTCCACGCCTTCTGAATTGGATCCGAAAATTTGGATTTGAGTCGCTTTTTTCGGAAAAGGTATGAAGAAGCAGGCCCAGACGTCTTGGGTCTACTTATGCTCCATTCGCTCATCAAGATACGTTCAGCCACTGTAACCTTGTGCTCTCGTGTCTTCATAGTGGCAATTTTGGCCACTCAGTTCCGCAACTGTGCTTGATTCCTCCGAGTTGGGTCCAGTAGACCCAGTCCCCCTTTGGGCTTGGAGAAAGTGAGTTTATCCATTGCTATCTTGGATATGAAGCCCTCGGTGATCTGAGCATGAGGTTTCCATAGGAATCGTGCCACTAATCTTCGGATTGCTCTGATCACCCCGCCCGCTAGCTCCCTCACTGTTGAGACAAACCATAGGATCGAAACCAGAGTTATGTTAGAGACCAGAGCTTTGCCCAGCAGGGATACGTGCTATGTGTTACCCCACAGTCTCAGTCTGGCTGCAATCCGTTGTTGCAACAAGAGGCCTTGAGATGATTCATCTATTTGGAGACTGATCAATACGGCTGGGAATCTTTCCTCCTCCCCGCTTTCTACTCTTCTCATCACCCATTTGACCTCCAATGAGAATTGTGTTGGCAACAAGTAAGACTTGCTCCAGTTGACAATTGCCTCAGACAGCGTCAAATATTCGCTCAACACAATCTTCAAAGCGGACAACAAGGCGGTGGAATTCTCTGAAACTGCACATCCTCCGCAAGTGCTCTTACTTTGTGCAACTGCAGACCTTTGATATCCGGATGTCTACGGATCCTATTCAATAAGACTTCTAGTTGCAGTACGAAGATGAGGGGGGCGAGGGGGCAACCTTGGCGCAGCGACCTTGTAAGTGGAAAGAACTTTGACAGGTTACCGTTGACCATGACCGTCGACGAGGAGAAGGTGTACATGGCTTTCACCCATGCGCAAAACCCGTCTCCAAATCCCATCCTCCTTAGCGTGGTAAAGACAAACGTTCATCCCACCTTATCGTAGGCCTTCTCCATGTCAAGGAGGAGGATGACCATGTTCAATCTTTCCCCTTGCGCTACTTCCAAGGTTTCGATAGCCGTCGCAATGTTGTTGAAGATCGATCTATGCAGTCTTTAAAAAGTTTCTTTGGATAACTTGTCGCTTGTCTCAATGCCCTTGATCTTCAATATGTCATTCCACCTTTTTTGCTTCTCCTCCTGCATGTTGTCGTAGTCCTTCATGCGTCTTTCTCTTTGCGCAGCCCACACCATCACTGAGATAGGGTGTCCATCCATGCGCTCCTCCGCCTCTTCTACTCTGCGTTTGCATTCTGCCGCCCTCTTACTCCTTTCTTTCGCTAGAATTCTTGAGATTACATCGAGGATTCCCGAGGTAATAGCAATCCCTCCATCTAACCACTTTGCGGTGGAGTCAAAGTATTGTCTTGCATCTCCCCAGCTCATCATGTGTCTTGTGACCCAGTCCTTCACCCCTGGCACCTCCAGTACCTGGCCATTCAGGCGGAAGAACCCGCGACCTCTAGTAGTGTTGAGGTTCAGACTAATGTCTGAGATCACAGGCTTGTGGTCCGACGTCGGATTGCTCACATGGCGGACTGTAGTGACTTAGTTCTGATACTGCTCACCGATTAGGAAGAAGTCTAGACGTTTCCTTGTAACCGCCTGCCGATCTTTGTATAGGTGTGATATCCATGTATATCCGGCGTCACCCGGGTTCAGTACGGGGAATGGATCCACCAGTGCAAGTTTCGTGCACAGTTCCAGCAGGGTTTGGACATCCCTTCTGTCCGCTTGTGTTGAACCAGGTCATATGGCTTCAACTAGCGATAGGTTCCAGTCTCCACCCAGTATTAATCTCTCCGCCTTCGGGATGTGCAGTATCAGTCTGGCAAAGAATCTCACTCTTTCCCCCACTTCTGTCGGTGCATAAATCATCATAAACACCCTCTCCTCATTCGCCACCAGGACTTTCATCTAAGCCCACTTTCCCCACATATCCACTTATGAGTCAATCACTGTAGCCTGAAGGTCTCTATGCAGTAGGACACACTCACCCTCTGGAGCCTTGAGCTGAGGCCCACACCCGTGGGCCCTCCCACCATTGAGCTAGCTCCCCAATCTTTGCTTCGTTGAGCTTAGTCTCCTACAGCATTATGCAGTTCGCCCTCCATTCGTGTATCCAGGACTTTCGGCGTCTTCTTTTGTCTCTACCACCTGAGTCCCCAAGACCCCGGAAGTTTGAGGTGACGACTCTAATCTTGTCCATTTGGTGACGGGGTCTTAGACGTTGACTGCCTGGCTCCCCCCGCTGAGCCTCTGGACCGGTGCAGCTGTGTGTTGCTTCTCAATGAGCTGGTGTGTGATGTGGATCTCCAGTCTTCAGTGAGTCTGGCACCCAGGAAGGTAGAGTGGAAATTTCCTCCTCCAGCAGTTTCTCATTCACATTGATCAGAAATAATGCAGAAACCCCCGACATGATTCTGATATTTTCCAGTTTGTGCATATTTCTTCATTGCAGGCATTGGAGCTCCTGCGGGACAGCTACGACAAGCACTACGAAGCATATACGAAAACCAGGTGAGAGGTGTGTGATGAACCTACTCTTGAGAGGCTCCCATTTTCCACATCATGCATGTACTCAACCCGCACAACGTTTGTCATCAACAGAGATTCTGTATATTAGGTGGAGAAACATGGGAGAGGAGGAGGAAATCTTTCAATAATTATAGTCAGTGCATACAATAACACATCTCTTCCTTCCCCTTTCAACCTCCAGGGCTTTTCCTCTCTCTGCTCGCCACCTCTATGTTCGAACCGGTATTGTTCTACAGTTTGAACACCGCACCACAGCTGCAGTGGTTAAGGCATCTGGCTGTTGAGCCAGAGATTGGCTGTTTGATTCCTTGCAGGGTCGGCCAGAGCAAAAGTATAGACATACATAAGGGCGGTAACCAGCCGGGAAATTGTACCCGGACCAGGTGGCTGTGTGTGCAAGGGCGACAGTCTCACAGACCCTGTAGGAGGGTCTCGAGTGATGTCGTGCAGGGAGTTAAGAGTTCTTGTTGCAGCTGTGCAGGGGCGGTTCGGATATCACTACCGGTATGGTTCCGTCTTTTGAATGTCGTATCATGGCTGCAGTGGTTAAGGCAACCAGCTGTTGAGCCAGAGATCACCAGTTCAATTTCATGCAGGGTCACCAGAATAAAAAGTTGAAGTACAGACCTCAGAGTCTATGTTATGTTTCAACCTAACCCTCTGCAGATCATGAGGTCGAAACGTCTGGTTCTTCCCGCAGGAGCTACTCTCCAATACGCCAATCAGTCCTCCAGTCAAAACAATTGGCACTATGGAGGTTGGTGGCCAAAACCAGCACCTCCAGTTTCCTGGCGCAAGGCGCTGTCCCTTCAGCAGCAATCGCCGCCAGGTATTAAGCAGGGCAGGGCTCTTTAAATTTTCTCTCACCACTCTCTCTCTCTCTCTCTCTCTCTCTCTCTCTCTCTCTCTCTCTCTCTCTCTCTCTCTCTCTCTCTCTCTCTCT